TAGTTGCGTCCAGAAAAGCTGGCAGATTTCTGCTGATGAATTTCAGTCTAGCAGCCAAGACGATCAACTAAATAAACCATTTATCAAACGTTAGAGACCTTTATCTGATTTCATTTTGTAGCGCAGCCAGACATAGTTTAAAAACATAGACAGAGCTGCCAGTATGGAGTGGCTAAGTATGGCTATAGAGAAGAATAAAACAGTGCCCGGCTGAACCCAATTTCATTGAGTAGGATATATGGCTCTTATTTTCTCTCAACATTTTCTCAAATATTTAAGCAAGAGGCGCAGATCCTGATCAGCATCCTCTGCACCAGAGGATGGACAGAAGCAGTACTTCTTAGAGGCCAGCAGGAAGCCTGGCATTGGTAGGTGTTAGGCAAATAATCTAAATTAGGGAATGATTACATGAGAGTGAGACTAAGTTCTCAAAATGATTTCCTGTTTATATCACAGAAAAGTGTCTGGTAGGCCACAAGGTCTGTAATACGTTCAGAGATAGTAAACTGAAAATATAACCTCATCCATCTCTTCATCATTCATCCATCCATCCATCCATCCATCCTTCCTTCCATCCTTCTATCCATTCATCCTTCCTTCCATTCATCCATCCATCTATCCATCCATCCATCCTTCCATCCATTCATCCCTCCCTCCGTCCCTCCATCCATCCATCTTCCATCCATCCTTCCTTCCTTCCATCCATCCATCCTTCCATCCATTCATCCCTCCCTCTTCCCTCCATCCCTCCCTCTTCCCTCCATCCATCCATCTTCCATCCATCCTTCCTTCCATCCATCCATCCATCCATCCATCCATCCATCCATCCTTCCATCCTTCTATCCATTCATCCATCCTTCCATTCATCCATCTATCCATCCATCCATCCATCCTTCCATCCATTCATCCCTCCCTCCTCTCTCCATCCATCCATCTTCCATCCATCCTTCCTTCCTTCCATCCATCCATCCATCCATCCATCCATCTTCCATCCATCTTTCCTTCCTTCCTTCCATCCATCCATCCATCCTTCCATCCATTCATCCCTCCCTCCTCCCTCCATCCATCCATCTTCCATCCATCCATCCATCCATCCATCCATCCATCTTCCATCCATCCTTCCATCCATCCCTCCATCCTTCCTTCCTTCCATCCACTCAACGAGTCTCAGATCTCAACAAATGCCTCTTGTGCGTCTGGTGCTATATTATACATGGCATTGGCAATACATCATTGGGACAAAGATCCAAGGTCCCTTGCTTCAGGTAGCTCCTGCTCCCATATGGCTTCAGTACACAGATGCACTTGTTGTGGAGAATGGCCCAGGTGTGCAAGGCAACACGATGTCCATAATGTCAAGCCACCCCAAGGAAGGATGACCAGTGGACACCCCAGCTGACCTCAGAGCTGGGCCTCAAGTCTCCATCTCCCACGTCCTTCTTTTCTTTTATCTCTCAACAATAGCTTGTCAGGTACCTCTAACATGATAGGGACTGGGAATACGTCAGGAATCAGGCTGGACAGAATCTCTTCCTGCCTGAACCTTGGGGCAGGGTGAAGAGCAGATCAGATGACGGCATCTGCCTCTGTTGGCCGCAGGTGAGATTCCCGGGACATGAGGCGGGAGGGGAGAAGAGAAGTCCATGGCCTAGCTGGCCGCATGTTGGAGATCCTTCCCCACCACTACCGCTCGCAGTTGCAACACGCTCTACGACAAAACACAGTGTGGAGGACAGGAAGGCAAGCGGCCAAGTCCGAAGCATTTGCTCAGTGTCCACTGCTGACCCATGTCTGTGTCAACTCTGTCTCCCCTGAGTGAACACCTCCTGCCGGGTCCACCAGGAGATGGACTCGTGAGAGGAAACGCACCACATGGGAAATCAAAATAAAAGATCCATCTTGCTCTGGACTGAGCTCCTGCAGACTGCAGGCTTTCTGAAACCTCCACGCCCACCTAGCAGGGGCACACGCGCAGGCTTTGCTTCCTTGCTGAGCCAGTGCTGGGGCCTGAGCAAGGAGTTCGCCCAGCCAGGAGCCCGGCTCTCTCGGGAGTGTCTGCCTGCTCGTCCACTCACCGCAGCCCAGGCTGGCGCGCCCGGAGAGACACTGAGAAGACAGGACGGTCAAACTCAAATCAACGTGAATCGCACCAATGTTCTTACGAGTCCAAAGAAAATACTTTCCTGCAAATAAAGGGCGCACACTCTGCCCTGAGAGCACCAGCCTGCCCAGGATGGCCTGCAGAGCCACACTTAGGACAAGCTGCCCGCCAGCAGCTCTCCGGAGATAACAACGGGAAGTAAGCCCCTGGGTCTGCAGCACGCGAGTGATCTGCGGAAAGGAGCTGGGGTGCCGGCGAGGGAGGCGCCGCGAACCTCGAACAAGAACAGAGCCGTGGGAAGCGCAGCGCGCGTGCTGCCTCTTAAGGTCAAGGAGCAGGGCGCTGCCCTCAGCTGCGGGGCAGCAAGGAGCTGCAGCACAGCGCCCGCCCGGAACAGCCGGCCCGCATGACAATGTGGTGACATCTCTCTCCCACAGACCATGCCAGAGCTGCCTGGATCAGCACTGAACTCTGGAAAACCTTGCTGCAGAGTGACACTTTTCATTCATTTGCATCGATTTTCCCATTTCGGTTAAATTGCGTTTATCTTTTCTTGGGGGTTGTTTATGTATGGTGGTTGGAAATGCTTAATTCAACTCCCATAATGACACGCTTATTATAACTTTACTGAAGCTCAGATGAGAAAATCAGGAGCTAGAAATACTCTTGTCCCCCAAATAAACTTAAACATGAATAATACCCCCTCTTCCCAGTTTGGTTTATAAATAGAAAGGACCTGCTGTCAGGACTGGGGGCAGCTGCAACAGAGAAATCCTGGCACATGCTGCCCAGAGGAGCTCGCTCGCAGGCTCGGGTGGGGGTGGTTGGAGGCTGGTGCACATGCGCTGGTGTGCAGGTGTGCGGGAAGGCACACTGGATGGAGAGGGTGGACGGCACTGGGCACCCACACCTAACTGCCAGGAAGAAAGTGCGGCAGTCATGCAAGAGGAGGGGACCATGATGGAGCTGGGCAGAGTATTCTGTTTAGAACTAGGGACGGTTATATTTTCCAAATGACAGTCACAGTATCATGTAATTTTTCTCTTTCTCCCTTTTGATAATTTTCCATGTCTTCCTACTCCTTCCTACGCCTCAAGTGTAAAATCCTAGGGTCATTCCCAGGTTACACCTGCTTTTCTTCCTCTGTGCCAACAGATGTATAATTAGGATTTTTAGAGATGCTCAGACTGTGGTGGGCAGTGGGCTGCCCACCTGGTGTGACCAGGCTCACCCACCTGGTGTGACCAGGCTCATCAGGCGCCCCCCGTGAGTACATGGCCACAGCACTTTCTGCAGCAGTCAAATGTCCTGTGCTATCCACCACCACTGCCACCAGCCAGGCTGACTACTGGATACTAGATACAGGGCTGGTACGACTAAGGAACTGATTTGCACATTTTAATTACAACAAATATAAGTTAAAGTTTTATATTTCAATATAAAGTAATATGGCCACTTATTATTTATTGGATAATGCAAGGATAGCCCAAGAATAAGGGGATACTCTTTATTATTAATATATAAAAATTAATTAATTAATTAATTTGGTACAGGGTCTCACAGCTTGGACTCATAGTGATCCTCCTGTCTCAGCCTCCCCAGCCCTAGGATTACAGGCATTCACCACCATATCTGGTTTCAGGGCCAGCACAGCACGCCCAGAGTCCCAGGGCTCGCATGGCATGTAGTACCAGGGATTGAACCCGGGTCCTTACGCTTGCCGGGCAGGGGCTTAGACACTGAGCTATCTCCCCAGCCCTGGGCATACTCTTTAAAGAGACAGTTACAATGTGAAATGATAATGGCCACAAGCCATGGACTCAGGGAATGGGGGACAAACACAGCCCCGAGGACTACGGAGATGGGGTGGCTTCTTAGGGTGGCCTGGTCTCAGCCAGAATCCAGTACAGAAAGGCACCGAGCAAGGAGTCACAGAGGCACCCTGAGCCATGGGTTCATGGCCAGCCTGGCGAACAAAGTCAGGACCGTGGCCTGCAGAAGCGAGCAGATCTGGGGGGCGAGGGTGGGCGGGGAGGATGGAAGGGGACCCGAGTCTCTTAGGCTGGCTGGGTCTGCAAGGCCAACAGGGCTTCCTACTGAGGTTGCTGTCGGGCAGCTAGGGGCTGACATTGAGCTCAGGAGAGCTCAGGGCTGGGGGGCACCTTCGGGTGGGGACTTAAGTAGGGATGGGGGCTCACATGCAGTCTCAACAGGACAGCCGACACCTAGCTGTGTGGCCATCACATGTCATGCGACTGATTATGTTTGTATGAAAATTGGGCTCTAAGATTTCAATTTCACAAAAGTTTCCCAAGTTCTAAACTTCAAAAACTCTGGACATAAGAATTTTTTTAAAAAGAAACATGAATCTAAATATTCGAATATAACCACTGATTCTGAAACTTTTAACAGTCTGGGCAAAGCCATGGAGCCAGCCTGTGACCTGATGGGTCCAGGGACACTCATTGTGACGTGATGTGGCAGTGAGCGAGGTTCCAGGGAGGGCCTGTGGGGGAAGGGACACCCACAGCAGAGAGGGGAACCAAGCTGTCTCACGAGGCACCAAGGTCAGCCTCAGTGACTTGGGACAGGGACGCTCTGACTCCCCACCTCTTCCCCCTCCCTGCTGTAGAAGCCAGAATGAGGGGCCTGAAGAAAAGGCTGGTGAGGAACAGGCACCAGGCTGAAGAATGTGGGGCGCCGTGAGGGCCAGGGCCTCTGAGAGCGTGTGCTCCCCTGGCCACCCCGCCTGTCTCCTTGCACAGGTCTTCCCACCTGACAATGTGGGAGTGTCTCACTTCTGCCCTCACCATAGAAAGCGCCACTGACCCCCAGCTTCTCTTGTGGGAGACCGCATGCTATTTTCACGAAAAAGAAAACACTCCGCCTGCCAACTCACCTCCCGGTCCAGCAGCACAGGTGACACCACGGTGACAATGTCTCCTTTCTCAGGATCGATGTAGAACATGTTGGGAGATGGCTTGTCAGGCGTCTGCTGACGAATATTATACCTCAGGAGGGCATTGTCGGTGGCTGGGTCATCCGCATCGAAGGCTGTCACCCGCATCACAGTGGTCCCTGCAGGGCAGGAGGGGAGCGCAGGAGATGGTTACCGAGAGGCACTGGTGACAGACTAACGTGCCAATCATTTTGCAAAGGAAAAACAATGACGCACTGCCCAGGCTTTGTGGCGTTTCAGCGCCCTGTTCCCACTCCATCACACTAAAGGACCTGGAATAAGATGAAATCTCTGCCGATCAGCAGAATGACAGCTTAATTTTTTTTTTTTTTTTGCCTGTTTCTGTTTATTTGCAAGGGCATTTGTTTCCTGTGGATATGACTCTGTGACAATGGCCTTCGTTTGGAAGCCTCTTATGGGACACCTCTGTGTGCTGAGGTTGTGATGGGGGCAACACTCACAAAACTGCAAAGCCACAAAGCCACAGTCCCCGGCATCCTGGCTGGATCTCAGGAGGAATGGCAGAAGCACACAAACAGCGCTGAAAGGGGAACTACGGGTTCAGAGCACACCACCACCCAGCCTGGGGGTTAGAGAAAGTGCAGCCTGGGGTCTGCACCAGGTAGTCATGGTGAGCTGGCGTGGGAGGCAAAGGACAGAGGAGTCCCAAAGCTCAAAGCAATCCCACTTAGAGAACATCTTAATTGAGCACCTAGGGTGGAAGAGCCACTGTCTCTCGGGGCCCTCAGAGATGGGGTGGGGGGTTGGGCTCCCTCACGGACGAGCGGAAGGTGCAGGCACAGCGCTCGCTGTGTGCGGCCCTGGGGTATCGTTGGGGATATCAGAGCACGGATTCTGCACACCCGGACCCAACATGACAGGGAGTGCTTGTGACTCCTGAGGGCAGCTGGTCAGCAGTTACTGAAGACGATGCCTTCAATTTCTTGGGGACAAATCCAACACGGGCCTTGCGCAAGGGAGTTCACAGGAATACTATCTGTCATGGCAGAAGTGTGCAGACAGCCTAGCTCTTGTAGTTTGTGTCGAGTTTTCCCCTCAGAGCCTCGTGCAGTCACTGGGGTGGGCTTCTAGGGTTTGTGGTTAATTCATAATCCAGTGCTGGGATTGTGGGTGAGTGCTGCTGGCATTCCGGGTGTGAGTGTCACACCTGCCCTGGGGGCAGGGGCACAGCCTGCACACAGCGTAGGGAGGCAGAGGGGCTTGCTGGCAGCTGCCTTCACCGCCCCTCCCCTTGCTCTTTGCTGTTTTCTGCCCCCATGAACAGCTGCCCTCTGCAGTGTGCCTCTCTGCCTTGGAGCCAGCTGAATGTGGACTGAAACCTCCACAAATGGTGTGCTAAATAAAGCTTTCTTTCCTTAATTGGGGGTGTTGGGTATTTCGTCCCAGTAACAAGAGAAAATAACTGAGACCCTGTCTGTCCAAAGCAGAGAATTAATAAAATGGGATATCTTCCAATTGTGAAATATTTTGCTGCACTTAGATAATGTTGTAGATCAAATATTTTCCAACGTAGAAAATTTTCTAGACTCTGTTACTAAGAAAGGTTACTAAGAATGTCATCCACATAGATGGCATCATCTTTGTGAACCTGCTTGCAAAGAAAACTCTGCCATACACATATATTTTGCAAGTACAGATTATATCCATAACTGCATAAAATTGAAAACGTCATACCACAGGAATATACATGCACCCATGTGTATAGCAGCACAATTTGTTATGGCTAAATCTTGGACACAACCCAAATGCCCATCAACAAAAGAATGGCTAAAAAGCTGTGGTATTCTTTCACAATGGAGCACTGTTCTGCTGTAAAGAAGGGTACACTCGAGGCTTTTATAGGCAAATGGATGCAACTAGAGACCATACACATAAATGAAATGAATCAGACCATGTGTTTGAATATCATATTGTCTCCCTAGTGGAAGAAACTGAAAGAATAAATAAGAGACTCAAAAGGTGCTCAAAAGATATTGTAAAAGGGAAAGAAACTGCTTAAAAGAAAAGAACAATTGGGATGGGGAAAGGAGAAAGGAAAGAGGTGTACTACTAATTTCTACTGGTTTATTGAAAGGAAGAGCAAATGCTCAATTATTTAATCAGTTTTGCATGCCCATATCTGGTAATCTGAACAACTACTTTGAAAACAATATACAATATATAACAACCATTATTTATTAATTTTTTATCATTTAGTTTTGAAATTCTGTATCACCTTTTTTTCTTATTTTTCTTCTCTTTAAAAAAAACTGCCTATACGAAAAGTCTAAAGAAGTGAGAGAAAGGGTTGAGATTAGGGATGGCCATCAGGCAAGACACACTGTGTGGGCTATTGTCCAAGGTGGATGTATTGCTTTTTGAGATTAAAACTGAAAAAAAAAAAAAGATGGATAGATAGATAGATAGATAGATAGATAGATAGATAGATAGATAGAAAGAAACAGCATTTGGAACTGGGTCAGGCAAATTGGTCCACTCTTCTTACCACTGTGTGGCCGTCATTTGGCACGGGATGCCCTGTGCAAGCTCAGTGCTTCACTGAGGGGGCCTGCTGGCAAGAGACCAGCGCAGGATATTTCCTGGTTCCCAGCAGGAGCATTCACTTGCAGACATTACGAGAGCTCAAAGGAGACACAGTGCTCGCCCAGCTCAGCTGCCAGCCTAGATTTCTTTCCTTTGTCTAACACGTTTCTCTGATCACCAAAGCAGATTTGCATCTTTTCCCACATGGAATCCAAACATCAGCCGTTCAGCTCAGTGATCAGATAAACGACAGGAACCTGCCTAGCCTAATGGTTGGGTCCATTTGTTAAGCTCACCAATATGGCCACTCAACTAGAAGCTTCAAGGCTCATTTTCTACCCGTGAACCTTGTTTCTTTGTCCTTGAAATTGAGGCAGGGCAGACAGAGCATTCCCGGCATGTGGCCCCTTGCACTGCCCCAGGCCTTTGTAGGACAGCATGTGACCTATGGCACTGTCTCTCACCAAGCCACGCTGGCGAATCGGGGTTCTCCACCCAGTGGTCCAGCTGGCCACCCCCAGTCTATGGTTTGGCTACCTTCCTAACCTAGGACGTCAGGTCTCTGTTGAGAACCCGAGGTATCAAGGTACATCTTGTACAGGTCCAAATTCCTATGATGAATGTGATCATTATGTATAACTAAAATGTACTGATAAACTGAACTTAAAAGAAGGGAATCAGAAGCAGATCTCAGGCCCCAGATCTCACCCTGGGAGCTGCTAAGAGAGTTCCACATGGCCAGAGGCAGAGAAGAGGCGTTGACCCCATTGATTCCACACCAAAGTCTCAGGTTAAGCACACTTGACTCAGGGGCTCTCACTCAGCCACTGCCTAGTGAATGCTTAATTGCCTGAATCCATGCCCTGCTTAATTTGCCTTTAATTGAACAAGAACAAGTATAAAAATGAAGTCATCATGGCCTGCAACTGGCAAACGTATTAACATGATTATAGGATGAAAAAAGGCCTCTTGGGGTAATGACTATCAACAGAAAATACACGGAGACTATCTCCTTTACTCTTCCAGATTTGATAACATGATGTAGGATTGTTCTAGAATAGTCTCATGGTCACAGAAAAAGGGCTTGTCCTCTAAGGAGTTAGCAGGAAATGAAAGAACTTGCTCGTGTGTGTGTGTGTGTGTGTGTGTGTGTGTGTGTGTGTGGCTGGTTCAGCCCATCCTGGGGGTGGAGCTGGCATGGCATGTGGTGCTGGGGATTGAACCGCAGTCCCTGAGCGCTTACCTAAGCTTGCCTAAGCAGGTGCTTTAGACTGCTGAACTATCTCCCCGGCCCAGAACTTGCTCTTAAGCTTGGTCCTTGCATCAGTGTGGACTCGCATTTGGATTTGCCTTGGAGCAAACCCACGCTGATGGAGACTGCTCAGTGCCTGCATTAGGCAAATGGGTTTGCAGCACTGAAGAAGAGGACCTGGGGGGACATCCCCAGCCTGTACCGATGTGACTTGGGTCAGGGCACCCAACCTCCCGAGCCCCGAGCTTCCCATGTGCAACATAAGGAACCCGACACCTCTTTCTCCTTGGGTCACCATGAGGATCTAGTGGGTTGATCTATGGAAAGCCCTCGGTGCCATGCCAGGTGTACTGTTAGGAAAGAAACCTTGGAATAGCAGACCTTGCCCCAGGTGGCTCTGAGCCAATCATGCCAGTGCAGAGTAACATGGGAGTTGGAGCTGAGTTGGCATAGAGCCGGGGACCTGGCAGAGTAGGAGTCCTGGTGCCCATCTCCTCTGAGGTGCCCTGCCACCCTACCCTTCCACCACATCCTGGTCTGAGGGTACCAATCTGGGTCTCTGCCATGGAGATCACACCTCTCCACCCGCATGCACATGTGGGCACACTCACACACACGTTTTGCACATTACTCTGGCACCTCCCTCTAGGATCAAGGCTCCGTCTCAAATCTCAGTTCATCTGTGAGCCCAGAGCCACGTTAGCTCCTGCCAGTGCCTGCCCGGGCAACAGAGTCAGGTCAGGCCTTGCTTTTTTCCAGGTTCTACAGTGGGTAAAAAAACTCCTGATAAGGAGAGTTCTACAAGGACGGACTAAGCCTCCTAAAGCAGCATTTTCCAGCTTAGAATTCCAGCTCCTCAGCCTCACTAGAGAAACAGATGTGGGAAATATGTGGCAGTCATAGTGGAGCAAGTCTCCCCGCAGCAAGATTTCTCTGCCTTTATTCAGCAAATACACATTGGGAATCTCCAAGGAAAAGCAAACTCTGCAGCATTTCCTAAACCTCACTGTGGGTGGAAACCCAGCCGAAGACTGTCTTTACGCATCCCAGCTCCCACACGACTATGTTCTGTTTATGCCTGTAAGCTCAGCACCGAGCTTGGTAGCTCCTCCATGAGTGTTCCAGGAGATGAACAGCATTGTGGCGATGCCCAGGAGCTTCTCCTTGTCCACACTGGCCTGCGCCACCAGTGCCCTGACGAGGGCGGACAGTTGACCTCCCTGCCTGACATTCCACAGCCTGTGCACTGCCCCTCTCCAAGCCCCGTGTCTACTCCTCCTCGGAGGCGCCTCTTGGAGCCTGATCCAGCGCCTGCGCACCAAC